ATTTCAAAACGTTGCAACAACTTATTTTTTTTAATAAAAATTTGTAAAAAAAAATACCAGTGAACAAGCATCTTCATTTACTACATGTTTACTTAGAGATTACATTATGATGCATCATACAATGAATTGCATCATATTAGTGTATATAATAGGTCATCAAATCAGTGTCAGTTAACTCTGTCAACTAGGTTGCCTGTAGGGATTTTTAATGTCCAGCAGGTGTCAGTATTCAGTGACACAGTATCGACACAGTATCAATACAGTTTGGTAATGTGTCGAAACGTTTCATGACGCCTCATCAACCCATCACTACCTCAAACAGCCTTGGCTCATCTCATAACATCACTTGTAGTAACATCCGTAAACCTTTTGGTGAAGATTTTCTGTCATCCAGGTCATTGCAATTCCAAAAAAAAGTTAAAAACAATCCAATAGACTTTGTTTTCAAGTTTGAAGATGCTTCGCTTCCCATCCTGGAAGCCTCTTTTTATTCTTTTTATTTTAATTTTTTTATGTAAATTTAAAAAAGCTTTAAAGAGGGGGAGAGACATGCAGCAAAGGACCCCCTCCGTTCATAAGTTATGCGCGCTAACCACTACGCCACCTGCACGCCTGGGAAATCTTAGGTTTTCTGTGCTGAATGAATAAGAAAAAACAGTGTTGTTTTTGTATTTTGGCAATTGACCCAAATCAGATCTAATGAAGGGAAGATTGTCCACTTCTAATTTCTCTGATGATGTTTTTATTTCAGCTGACTTTTAGTCACACTGCGGATCTGCAGGATGTCAGGTAAAATCAGTGATCAGCTCAAACCCGGCGACCTGGTGTTCGCTAAAATGAAAGGCTTTCCTCACTGGCCTGCCAGAGTACGTAAATTAACAATACACTCTGAATTCTTTGCAGCTGTTTTTTTCCACTGCTTCAATGCTTCTTTGTGTTTTACAGGTTTGCAAATCAGAGACCGGATATAGGAAGCGAGTTCCAGTCTACTTTTTTGGCACCCATCAAATGTAGGTACTTTCAGCAGCCAATTGGCAGTGTGCCTTTTTGTCCCACCTAAACCATGCTGTGGTTAATGTCTTTCTCAGAGGCTGCGTCACACCAGAGAACGTTGTTCCTTACATTGGCAACAAGCTGAAGTACGGCAGCGGCGTACGCATCAAGGGCTTTGCCGAGGGTATGTGGGAGATCCAAAACACGCCTGGAATCGGCAGTAAGCTTAAAGTGAGTCCATCGTAGTTGTTGTGCTTTTCTGATCTACTTAACGTTAATAAGTTTGCAATTTGATCCTATAATCTTCCACATTTTAAAACAGGAGAATGAAGATCCCTTATTCTACTGTGTCTTTTACTCAGATCCTGCATTACCAGAATGCTATTTGGACTGATCTTATACATGATTGTTCACAGTCCTCCTTGGAAAAAAAAAATTATTCACTAATGGCTATTAGACAGTTATATACTTTTGGATCTGACACACTCTGTTTTCTACAGGTTCCATTAAAGATCAACACTACATCACCACCAGCAAAACCAGCTTCTTCTTCTACACTCCCCAAATCATCTTCTGCTACCAAAGCTATTGATGGCAAACCTAAAGTTACCTCCTCCCCAATTAAGCTTGAGCACAATTCAAGCAAAACTATGGCTGGTAGGGTGTTAGGTGAGAGCGGAAATCTGGATAAAGCAAGAAGAACATCGTCTAAATTAGCTTCAGATAATGATAAGTCTAAACTGGTAAGACACACTGTGGAGCCTGCGGCAGCTAAACGAACGTCGTCTAGATTAGCTTCAGATAACAATGAGTCTAAACTCATAAGGGACTCCATGGAGACTGCCACAGCTAAAAGAACATCGTCTAGATTAGCTTCAGAGAAAAGAACTGAATTCAAATTGCATAAAGACAATGTACAGCCAGTTGCGGCTACAAGAACACCATCTACATTAGCTTTGGATGAAAATATTGAATCCAAACTTGAGAAAAATGCTGTGGACCATGTTGCAGTTAAAAGAACATTGTCTAAATTGGGTCCTGATAAAAAAACAGAATCCGGGCTGGATAAAGACGCTGCCGTGCCTTCAGCAGCTAAAAGAATGTCGTCCAGGTTAGCTTCAGGTAATGATGAATCTAAAGTGGTAAGAGACACCACAGAGCCTTCTGTGGCTAAAAGAATGTCGTCCAGATTAGCTCCTGATAAAAAAACAGAATCCAAACAGGATAAAGACGCCACAGAGCCTGATAAAGCTAAAAGAACGTCAGCTAGATTAGCCTCGGATGAAAATATGGAATCAAAACAGGATAAAGACGCCACAGAGCCTGCTACAGCT